TGATGGCTTAAATGTCTTCTTAGCTGATGAAACAGTTTCTATGTGTGAACACAGAACTCCCTGACAGTTTTTAGTTAGGGAAGTGAGTTATCGCTAAGCAGACATTGATTGGGCTATATACTACAGCAGGAGAACATGGCGCTCTTAGGTATTCTGGCTCCAGCACCTCTCTTAATACACTCCTCCACCTGATCCTTCCAATGTGATCCTCTTTTACACCTGGAAACAAACTGACTGCCTGCTGTAGTTAAAACCTGAAAAACAGATGTGGTATATGATGTCTGCTATAGATCTGCCTCACATTTCACAGCAAAAGCTCAATCAACTGTTTAAAACTGTTTTCAAAATATTGTTTTATTCTTAGTCATTTGTGTGTTATTCTTAAATATTTCCAAACAAAATAATTGCTCAGAACAGGAAAATATTTGTTTTTAATGCATTTCAGCATAAACAGAAAGTCCCATAGGGGAAATAAATATTTCTAATCTGTTGTTCAGTCTCCTCAGTTTAAGCTTCTACCTTTATCATTATGGTTTTTTTTTTTTTTTTTTTTTTTTTATTACTTCTTCTGATAGTCCATTAGAATCAATAGATTAGCTTAAATTCAAAAGCTTAAAATTAGCTTGATTAGCTTAGCTTAAAATTCTTCAGAAGTAGGATAAACAGATCCCAATTATATATCAGTAGTTTTTTGGGAGAATTAAAGGTCTTTACATATGATGAATCCAAGACTTTTTTTTAGTTGCCTTTATTTTTGAGTAAACTGATGAGGGGAAAGACATACATCATCACGGATTTGAACATGCAACAGCCATGACGAGGATGAAGGCCTCCTTACACATGTCAGATGCCTTAAACCCTGCATGCAATGGCCACAATTAAGTTATTCTAAGTGGATATCAAATTGAGACATTAGAAATCAGCAGCATTAACAATGCTTCAATTCAATTTGAAATTAGTTACATAATCAAGAAGTAAAATACAGAGAAAAATATTTCCAATAGCCTAAAATGTGATGGAAAAATATTTTTGTGATGATTTAAATAAAAATATTGACACAAAGTATTAAAAAGACATGTTCAAGGGTTTGATGAAAAAAAGACTTGGAAAAAAAGATAAAAACAAAGGTAATGACCACATTTTGGCCTTTCCTGTGGAAAACAATTTCCATGACTTCTGTATGCCAACAACTTTATTATGTAAACCAGGGAACATTGACTTTTACTGTAGAACAGTTTACTGACTTGTGTATAACCAGAACAAACAACTCAGCAAGCGACCCGTGTTAAGTTTGCCTCTGCTCTAATCAGCATGCTGTGGGAACTAATGTTGACCCGCTAAATTATGGGAAACAATTAGGGCTGCAACTAACGATTATTTTAAAAATCG